ATATATATATATATATATATATATATATATATATATATATATATATATATATATATACATATAAATATATGTATATATTATATATGTATATATATATATATATATATATATATATATATATATATATATATATATATATATATATATATATATATATATATGTATATGCATATTCAAAGTTGGTCCCATACCCAGGTGGACGTAGCACACCATAAGCGAATTAGCAGAAAGGAAAAGACAGCTTAAGCATCACAAAATAAAACTAAAAAATAACAAGAAGATAGATAAAGAGAAAGACCACCTTTACAGTTTCCAACACCATTCAAGTGAGGAGCAATTTGTCTTATGACATGTCAAGTTCCGTCGTTCTGTTAAGACAAAAAAAAAAAAAAAATCCTATTGATCCTTAACATGTAATTGTCGACAGAACTTTCACGATTGTTTGGATTGATGATGATAGTGTCTTAGGAATACTCTTTTGTATATGATTACGTTAATGGTGTGTGTGTGTGTGTGTGTGTGTGTGTGTGTGTGTGTGTGTGTGTGTGTGTGTGTGTGTGTGTGTGTGTGTGTGTGTGTGTGTGTGTGTGTGTGTGTGTGTGTGTGTGTGTGTGTGTGTGTGTCAATGGACAAGAGAGAGAGAAAGAGAGAGAGAAAGAGAGAGAGAAAGAGAGAGAGAGAAAGAGAGAGAGAGAGAGAGAGAGAGAGAGAGAGAGAGAGAGAGAGAGAGAGAGAGAGAGAGACAGAGAGACAGAGAGACAGAGAGACAGACAGACAGACAGACAGACAGAGACAGAGAGAGAGACAGAGAGACTTTCGAGTTCGTAGACATTTACATTTCAAATCAAGTCTCCTTAATTAGAAATCCCAGTCCGTGCTTTAGAAATGTGTCCAGAAAGCAACTTTATACCAAACTCAATACATAGTTCTTCCGTATCTCCGTTAAGTTGTGAATAATACGTTATGATATTTTTTTTCTACTGCTAACAAAACTAATTAAATATATGACTGCTTCGCCTCGTTCAAATTGCCTTAGCTCTTCGTTTGGTACTCAGATAAGTTCGTAATGTTACGGTCTCTCTCTCTCTCTCTCTCTCTCTCTCTCTCTCTCTCTCTCTCTCTCTCTCTCTCTCTCTCTCTCTCTCTATCTGTCTCTCTATCTCTCTCTGTCTATCTCTCTGTCTATCTATATCTATCTCTCTGTCTATCTATATCTATCTCTATATCTCTCTCTATCTATCTAACTAGCTATCTTATTATTAGTATATTTCTTCTTTATCTCATCTTCTTCGTCCTCTCTCTCTTTATTTTTCCTCCTTTAACCACCTTTCAACCACTCTCCTCTATCTCCCCTTTCTCTTCCACCTCCTCCTCTTCTTCCTCTTTCTCTTCCACCTCTAGCTCTTCATCCGTCCCTTTTTCCTCTTTTGTTAGAAGCAACACATACTGGTGTTTTAAAAAATAAGATCCGGTTGTCAGTTTTCTGTCGTATTTATTTTTTTCTCATTATTGTATTTCTCTTTTTTTTATTATATTTTCAAATCGAATGCTCATGTTATATTTCTCATCAGCTCTTTTTGTTAGTCTAGCCTTCCTTCCTGCTTCCCCCTTTTAACTTTCTTCTTCGACCCAATATCTCAAACTCTGCCTTTTATCCCCGTCTTCGTTTCCAAGAAGACGTGAAAGAAATAAAACGAAAGATAAATGAGATGCGAAAGAAGATAAGTCCGAGCCCCAGAGAACGAAAGAGGAATAGAGATAAGGCGAAGAAACAGACGAAGGGGAAAATAGAAAAAAATAGAAAATAGAGTTTTGGAAGCAAGAGAGAGAGACACCAATAACAACCAAAATAAAAGGAAAGAAACAGTAGGAGCGAAAAAAAGTAGAAGTATTTTCGAAAGACAATAACAATACTAATTATAATCATCATCATCGTCATCATCATGATATGAATAAACGGTGACAATACGTAAACAACACCACCAGAAATAAACAAACAAAACAAACAAACAAATAAAACAGCATTAAAGGAGAAACGCTAACCCTTTTTTCACTAGCACACAATGAACCGTCAGCGAGAAGAGACGAAGAAAATGAAAGAGTGCAGATTCTCCTGTGATGCAAGACAACACGGCAACATTTGGCCTTGTTGCTTGTCCTCCGTCTTATCGTTTGTCTGAGACGCAAGAAAGCATCTCAAGACACTTCCTGGCAAGATGTCCGTGTGCGTGCAGGAAGGGAGGTAGGGGTGGGGGGGGGGGGTAGGTGGAAGGTATATGTGTGTGGGTGTATCGGAGACGTGCATTCCAGAGCAGTTTATGTGTCCTGGAAAGTGAAAAAGTATAAATGTGAAGAAATGGCTAGTTAAATGGGATGAATTTTCGTTTATCTGGATTTTTTTTGGGTGATGGATTGGAAAGTCATTTTGGTTTTGGGTTTGAGTTTGTCAGTAGAATATTTTTTTAAGGCTCATTAGATGCAGAAAAAAAAACTGCAGCTGTTATTGTCAAAAGTATAACATCTCATCAGATTCTAATTTTACTCTCAAATCACAAACGTTGACAAAATTTATTAACAAAAACAGTGACTATGATCACCTTATAAGAACAAACTACACATAAAAAACATCATACAAAATAATACAGAAGGACTAAGTGAAAAATGATACCGTACACCCTAAACTCTCATTTAGCAACAAATCGTCAATTGAATGCAATAATCCAGTAAAATGATAGGGCCTATCGGAGCTATGAAAAATATTTACGTATTATGCATAATAAATAGCTGATGATATATCTCTCAGTTATTGCCAGCTGAGTGATTTAATAAAATGGCAATTGATCAGCATAAACTAATTCAAAATGATATCCGATTCATTTGCCAAAACGAAAAATAAAATGGGTGATACATGCTGCTGACAAACGCGACCACACACGTTTTGCGTGGGCATATGCTCGTGTGTGTGTGTGTGTGTGTGTGTGTGTGTGTGTGTGTGTGTGTGTGTGTGTGTGTGTGTGTGTGTGTGTTTGTGTGTGTGTGTTTGTATGTGTGTGCACGCACGTATGTTACATGAAACCTAAGCACATACCTCCACCAAGTTTAATTTCCTTTCGCGGGCACAATATATAATAGTGAATCATGATACTCACCCGAAATACGTTATTCATTATCATTCGTATTATTCACAAAACACCATAACACCACCGCGACCAATGTACCGAAAGAAAACAGCGGGACCGTTCAGAAAGAGGATCTAATGGAGATGTTAATTAAAATGCTAAATTAGCGAACGGGGAAGGGTGGGGGGGGAGGAGGAATGGGGAGAGGAGCAGGGGAGGGGAGGGGAGGGGAGGGGGGACACAGGGCTTAATGAATTGTGTGAAAGAATGTTGCGAGATAGTGACAAGGTGATAAATCGACGCTGCTAGAAGACGGAGGATGTAGAAAGTGATAAATAATGAGAAACGGGAAGGAGGGATGGGAGGGAGGGAGGGAGGGTGGGAGGGGAAGGAGGAGGGAGAAAGAAAGAGGCAACGAATGAATTAGTGAGTTAGTGAGTGAGAGGGAGAGGGAGAGGAGAGAGAGAGAGAGAGGGGGGGGGGGGAGAGAGAGAGAGAGAGAGAGAGAGAGAGAGAGAGAGAGAGAGAGAGAGAGAGAGAGAGAGAGAGAGAGAGAGAGAGAGAGAGAGAGAGAATGAGAAAAAAAAGAGAAAGAGGAGTACACAAAAAAACGAAAACACACAAATAACAAAAAAACATCAAACAGCAGACCGAATGAAAAAAAAAAAAACAACAACAACAGCAACAAAAGAAATCCTCCTTCCTCTTGACCTTTGACCCAACACTACTAAGAACGCCCCCCTGCCCCTCTCCCCCCTCCCCTCCCCTCCCCCGTGACACCCCACGCAGGCATCTCACCCTCAGGCAGAACCCGGCCTAACATCTTCAGTAGCACTCTGCCTCTGCCTTAATGAAGAGGGTCACTTTAATGAACGCATGGTGAGGGCGGTGAGGGTAATGGTCGGTAGGGGGGGAAGGGTAATGGTGGGGGAGAGGGTATTGGGTGGGTGTGGGGGGGGAGGGGTAATGGTGGGGGAGAGGGTATTGGTGGGTGTGTGGGGGTAGGGGGAGGTGTAATGGTGGGGGTGATGGTGGGTAGCGGGTAAGGGTAATGATGGGGGGGGAAGGGTATGGGTGGGTGTGGGGGTAACGTAGGGTAGGGGTGGGGTGAGAGGTGGAGAGAAGGCGATGGGGGGGTAGTTGTAATGGGTTTTATAATTATCTTGGTCTCTTTTTTACTATATTTTCTTATCTATCAATATACTTATTTGCTTATTTATCAGTGCATTTATTTATTCATTTTTAACTACTCATTTATTTATTCACTTCTGTATCTGTCTATTCATTTATTCACCAGTTTATATATTCATTTAATTATTCATTTATTCATCTACTCATCTATTTGTTTATTTACTGGTGACCATATGAAATGACTCGTAAAAAAATAATGATACAAAAGGGTTTCTGACTGTGTATTTTCTGAGTCATATATAATGCAACATATTGCACGCCTTATTTATGTTGAAAGACTTGACTATTCTGCATGAGATCATAACGACAATTCTTAATTAATTACGAAAATATCAAATTAATTCTTGCCGTTGCAGTGTTCAATGAACTAAAGCATTACTCTCTCGCCGTGATATTAAATAGCTGTCAGAGTGTATGTCTGCTTGGTAGACGGTTTCAGACTGCATGCACGTCTGACAAGGAGAGAAGTTAAGTAATTGAACTGCATGACACAGCCCTTAACCACATTTCCGTTTATGCTTCGTCTGATGTGAAGTCTAACGCACTGCTTGTCACTGACTCATATAGTTACCATATCACCAAAACCATAACGTGACTATAGGAGCAACTATGGACCGATGGTAGGGTGTTAGGTTCTTGGGTTAGTCTGTCACCAGGTTCCTCGTCCTCCGATAGTCTCAAGTTATATACCATTTAAGACTTTGCTTAGACTGGGCTCCTTGATATACTCAGGCCCTGCATCACGGCATTGCATGTTGGCCTACTTCAAAGATGAAATCTTTTTCAGGTCTACACGGGCTGCAAAATCTTTTCTAAACTTTCTTTTTCTCTTCTCGTTCACTTTTTCGTTTCTTGTTAACTCTAACCCCTTCCAATCCCTAAAGTTTACCCTGTTCTTTTGTTAATTTCCTCTTTTCCTCGCCTCATTTTCGTTTCATTCCTTTAACTTTCTTTGTCTTCTCTACTCTTTCTTTCCCTTATTTTCTATTCTCGTCTCATCCTTTAATAACCTTTCCTTTCGTCTCTCTTCCTTCTCTTCTCGTTCCCTCCTCTCCTCCAATCTCTGCCTTTCTCGCACGCTCTCTTCGTTCCTTCATAACTCTTTCTCTCTCCTCTCCTCTCCCCTCCCGCTCCTCTCTCCCTTCAGCCCAGCTCTCCAGTCTAACAAAATCAACATCAACAATAACGAACTTTTTCTCTATGCCGCAATGCTATTAACCGGCGTCGCTTTTGCCGCTATTCCATCGTCATTTACAGCGCCTATGCAATTATCCGGATCACCCCGAGCCGGTTATTAAGGTAATGGTCCACAATCAGTGTACTAATGAAGGCCTTCGTTACCTTACGACTTGCCCAGGTAATCCGCATTAATTAGGGATTTCTCAGGTGCCCCTGCAGATAGCCCTAATGTTCCTCGTCTATGAAAGAAAAAATCATCACGTCTACCTCATTTGCATACGCGCATTATTCCAAGTCACGGGAGCTGTGATGTAAATTTTATAGGCATAGTGAAGTGCTACGCCCGGCCCCTCCTTCTCTCCCTCATACCTTCCATCCTCAATGACTTATCTGAAGATTCACGCATTACAAGGATCAGGGTGATAGGAACGCGTGGCTGCAGCTTCTCATACACCAAAATGTATACGACCGGGATTTTGCCAATGATTGTAGGCGCTTCGTTTTAATGGGTCTCGTCCAGAATCATGCCGTCATGCAGTGGAATGAACCGCGTTTCAAGCCGGGAAAGGAGGCCTTTGAACGGATGGCATGAGACACTGCTTTAACCTGGAGAGAGTCATCTCAAGCAGAGTAATGTGAAGGAGCAGGTTTAGTGGAAGAGGGAAGGAAGGGTGGTAGGAAGGGGAGATGGAGGGAGGGAGGGAGGGAGAGGGAAAGGGAGAGGGAGAGGGAAAGAAAGAAAGAGAGAGAGAGAGAGAGAGAGAAAGAGAGAGAGAAATAAACAGTTAGAGAAAGCGTAACAAATAAAGATGAGCAAAGTGGCAAGCATTGAGAAAATGTGAAAATAAGACAAATAAGAATCACTCTACACAAGTTGAGAAGGCCAGCTTTTAGTACAACACACGGACATTGATCAGCCACAACCTGACATAACATTCCCTGCTTTGTATGTTCAAGCAACTATCGCCTGCAGGTGCTTATGGCTCCATATCACCGAGACAAACTAAATAAAAGAACTATTTCTGGAGTAAGTTAATAGACACTGATATTGATAAAAGCAAATGCATAATAGAAACGTGGGGAGACCCAACATAGGGGGGTAAAGATAACGATAAACTTACTCCTTTATTTATGCAGATGCTATATTCTTATGCTATTACAACAACTCTTCTTCTCCTTCTTTTCATTTTCTTCTTCTTCTTTTCACCTACATCCTCTCCTCCTCCTCCTTTCTTTCTTTCTTTAGCACAAACATTCCTAGGGTACAGTTTCACCTTCACCTGCAGTATTGACCGATTTTCATTCCCCGAATCTGCAACACCATAAACAACCGTGGACATTTCAGGACAATGTCAACGTCGTGATATTGATATTCTGTTCGTCGTATCAGCGAGTAAACTAATAAACAATTTGCCATAGCAACTGCCGGCTCCACAGATCATTTACCGAATGATAACGATAACCAGTGCATAAGTCTAAGGTTGCTGTGCCAGATGTGTGTTCGAATGTCATTAGAAATTCGTACACAGCCACCGGGGCAAAAATGTTGATTAACGTGTAAATATGCTGTATCAAAGGTTGATGGCATGTTTTATCTTTTTCACCCATACACTCTCTTTCTTTCTCTCGCTCTCGCTCTCTCTCTCTCTCTCTCTTTTGCTCTTTCGCTCTCTCTCTCTCTCTCTCTCTTTCGCTTGCCCCCCCCCCCCTCTCTCTCTCTCTCTCTCTCTCTCTCTCTCTCTCTCTCTCTCTCTCTCTCTCTCTCTCTCTCTCTCTCTCTCTTTCTCTCTCTTTCTCTCTCTCTCGCTTCCTCTCTCGCTCTCGCTCTCTATCTCTCTCTCACTCTATTTCTCTCTCGTTCTATCTCTCTCTCGTTCTATCTCTGGCTCTTTTTCTCTCTGTCTCTATCTCTCTCTGTCTTTCTCTCTCTCTGTCTCTTTCTCTCTCTCTCTCTCTCTCTCTCTCTCTATCTATCTATCTATCTATCTATCTATCTCTCTTTTTCTCTCTCTCTCCCTCTCCCTCTCTCCCTGGGAAATGTAAATAAATATGACCACGTCACACCACATATAAACAAACTATAATGACTAAAAGTACAACAGAAATACAACTATGACACATGTATTCTAATCCATAAAATAATACAAGGAAATTACCCAAATTGGCTATTACCTATACAAACAACAGGTAACAGTAACATAACAGGTGTCCATACAAGGCAAAATAACTCCTTATATATCAAAATGTCGAATACAGAAACGGGAGCAAATGATATGCAAATGCGAGGACTGGAGATCTGAACCCAACTAGCAAAAAAAAAAAAAAAAAAAAAAAAAAAAAAAGAAAGACATTTAAAACAAAAGTGAAAAGAACATCTACTGAAATATCAATGACATCAGCCGTTTAAACATTATGCCAAGCACGATATTTCAGTCATTTGTGATATTAATGTTCTGCATAATCTTGTTAAACAAGCATTGTATAATTATGTATATAACATCTTGTTACATAATGTAAACATCATATGTGTAGATAGCATACCCATAGTAATTAATGGAATAAAGTGTTTTGAATTTGAACTCTCTCTCTCTCTCTCTCTCTCTCTCTCTCTCTCTCTCTCTCTCTCTCTCTCTCTCTCTCTCTCTGTTTATCTACACATCTATCTCTCTATCTACCTCTATCTCTGTTTATCTACACATCTATCTCTCTATCTACCTATCTTTCCTCTAAAAGAAGATAATGTATAAAAAAACACATACACACGAAATATAAATGCAGTAACTTTTGAAGAATAAAACAGACGAAGAACACCTTCTTTTTTCTTTCTCGAGAGCAGAATGCCATAACCAGCGAGCAAACAAGTGGCTTCAATGCACCAAATCTTTACAGTCGCCCCATCATTTTTTTTTCTCTAGGTAGTAAAGCTTAACGGGTGATCAGCCTCGCTTCCTGAATAAATATGTGCCTGTAATCCACCTTGTACACGCATAAAAGTGCCAGCTGGTGATTTTTATGCTGCGTTAATCCGCGGCCTGTGAAATGGTGCGTGGATGAGTTTCAGCTAGCGAATTAGTGTTTTTTTTCCCACACACATACTCTTTCTTTCTCTCTACCTTTCCTCTTTTCAGTTCTATTATATTCTGCTTTCCTTTCCTTGTCCTCTGCCTTTACGTTCGTCCCTTCGCTTTCTGTGTTCCCGCTTCCATATGCCAGTTTCCTGTCTTTCTTCTTTCTTCTCTCTCTCTCATATATATATATATATATATATATATATATATATATATATATATATATATATATATATATATATATATATATAATCCTTTTCTCACTAGTCTCCACGCCGACTGCACTTCCTCCTTTGGCCTTTCCACAGACAGTGGGTTACGTGCCTAAGCGCTGTTCTGCTCTCGCACCATACAATCAGGCTCTCAACTCGCAAAAGCTTTGAACTTTATAGCCGGGATCCCTTCCACAGCCCTATACTTTTTGTTGACACTGTTGACAGAACAGTCGGCGGTTAGGGCACGACGCGCTCTTTTTTACATCCCTTCTGCAATCTCAAACTTGGACAAGCGTCACTCCCCCGCAACACGACGTGGCAGTCAGGTGGAGCGCTAATGTCGGGCCGGAGAGCGATAAAGAAGGATTCGGTATCACCCTCCGTCGATAATGTGCGATTATGGAGGCACAGGAGGATTGGATTCGGGGCCTTAGATGGGAGGAGGAACAGGCCCTGGTGTGTGTGTGAGTAGCAATGGGTTACGATGAAGAAGAGAGAGTTGGAGAGAGAGAAAGGGAGTTTCTTCTCCTTTCCCCTCTTTGTTCTTTCAATTCTTCACCTTTCAACCTATTTCCTTTTCCTATTTCTTTCTTCTTTTCTTTCCCCTTTCTCCTTGAACCTTTCCTTCTTCACGTTAGCTCTTCCTTACACAGCGAGTCTTAACGGAATCGTCATTCAAATCTTATAATGTGATTCACGTTCTCTCTCTCTCTCTCTCTCTCTCTCTCTCTCTCTCTCTCTCTCTCTCTCTCTCTCTCTCTCGCTCTCTCTCTCTCTCTCTCTCTCTCTCGCTCTCTCTCTCTCTCTCTCGCTCTCTCTCTCTCTCTCTCTCTCTCTCTCTCTCTCTCTCTCTCTCTCACCTATCATCCTACCGTCGCCTCGTTCTTCCTCTTACTCCCTCTCTCCCTTTTCTTCCTTCACACTCATTCCATCCTTCACTCCCTTCATCTCCTATCTATTTGCCTTCGTTTCCCTCCCTTTTCCACTCGTTTCTCTCCCCTATCACCCCCCCCCCTCTCTCTCTCTCTCTCTCTCTCTCTCTCTCTCTCTCTCTCTCTCTCTCTCTCTCTCTCTCTCTCTCATCTTTTCTCTCCTCATACCCGCTTCCCAACCAAGACCGCGCGGGTGCATCTTAATATCCACTTCAGGAAAACTTCACTTAAGTCACTCCCGGGACCGCAGACTTTTTTTTCTTTGCTTCTTTCTTTATGAACTGATGTGTCGTGCCAAGTAAAGATTTTTTCTAATGTCTCTAAAGCCTTCGGGCAATTTAATAAAAATGGGAAACAAGT